ATTGGGCACTAAAATAGATAAGTGATTAAATAAGAAAAAAGGATTATTGTATGTCTTTTTTGTCAATCTTTTCTTTTTCAAGCATGATGTCTTAAGGCTATTGGTTGTTGACGTTGTTGTTCAACACTTTTCAATGAAAGACCAACATCTTTCCAAACATGTGTTAATGCTTCAGCTAAGTGATCGATCATTTCACTTGTATGATAAGGTGTTGGAGCAATTCTTAAACGTTCCGTTCCTCGTGCAACAGTTGGATAATTGATCGATTGAATATATATTGAATAACGATCAAGTAAATGATTACATAATAATGAAGCTAATGCTGCATTACCCACCTAATACGAAAATGAAAACAATGAATAAATGATTTATTTAAAATTAAAAGTTATTTTTATACATGAATTGGTATAATATGACTTGGTGATATTATTACTGGAAGGCCAGCATCAATTAATTTTGATCGTAATTCACGAACATTTTCTTGTTGTTTACGACGTAATGCACGACCTTCATCACTCATTGAAACCTATTGAATATATAATATTTTCGTACAAGATTACATCATGTGATGAAAAGGTTTTAAAATCCCTATTAGATCATATTACTGTTTTTAAGGCCAATCAAAATGGTTTTTTTTATATAGTAAGCTATAAATTTTATATCAAAAAAGAATTCGTTTCGGAACGAATCTTACAGAAGTGTTAAAATACAAAAAGTTTTTGTAACTTCTATTGAGACTTGACTAAGCTATTGAATTTTGATTTGAAACTTTGTGCATATAGAAAACTCAACTAGACTAACTTCAATAAAACAAAAATTCAGAAGTTTTTAACAAAATCTCTTCAAAATATGAGATTTTTTAGAGTTATTATTAGAATACTATATAGTATGTATAAGCAAAATATCAGTAAAATCGGAAGAGCACATCTCAGAAACTTTCCTCGTTAGTTGTTTTCTAATGGTTGAGAATACGTTTTGGATAAATAATGTAAAAAAAAGGATTCTGGTCGTGTATGGCTTCTAAAAATAGTGGTTCATATTCTTGCAATAAACTCTGTTTTACGAAAATTTATTTTTCAAATTTTTTCAATTAAGAACCTATATAAATATACATTTTAACGCTTCTTGGAGTCGCTCTATAGAACCTATTTTGAATCAATGTTTGTAAATAACACATTCCCCTTGCCAACAAGAAAACAAACATTATTGTTTTAGAAGTCAGCAATATGGTCTAATAGAGTTTGACAATTAGTAAAGAAATTAAGCATCAAATGTCAGCTTCTAACCTCGATAGCTGCTAAAGAACTAGCTAAAACTGTTGGCGGCATTGATGTTGTAAAAATGAAGCCTGAACCATAACTTCGAATAAAATCAGTCATTTTAGCATTACCGGCAATATAACCACCAATACTTCCAAATGCTTTGCCTAAAATAAAAATAAAAATATACATTCTATTTAATAATGTGTAAATACAAACCAAGTGTTCCCGATATAATATCCATTTTATGAAGTACATTATCACGTTCGCCAATTCCCGCTCCATTATGACCATATAATCCAACTGCATGTACTTCATCAATAAATGTTATTGAACCATATGCATGTGCAACATCAAGCATTGCTTCCAAATCACATATTGAACCTATATAATAAAATTAAAATATTTCAAAAGAAGAAAAAAAAAAAAACAAATTTCATACCATCCATTGAATGAACTGTTTCAAAAGCAACAATTTTCGGTATATGACGTGGAAGTTTTTTTAATAATTCTTCCAAATGATTAATATCATTATGTCGAAATACATGTTTAGGTACTTGACTATTTCGAATACCTTGAATCATTGATGCATGATTACCACTATCCGATAAAATATGACACTTTGGTAATGCTTGAGCTAATGTAAATAATGTTGTATCATTAGCAACATAACATGACGTAAATATAAGTGCAGATTCTTTCTGATGCAGACGTGCTAATTGTTGTTCAAGTTTTTCATGTAACGGGCTTGTACCAGATATATTACGTGTACCACCTGAACCGGATCCATGTGCTGTTACTGCGTCACTGATAAGAATATTAAAAAACAAAATTATCAATCTTATTTGAGAAAAAAAAACTATTTCTGCTTGAATGAATACAAAAACAATCCTGTTAAAATTAAATAAATGAGATTGGGAATTCATGTGTAAAGCTGAGAAGTCTTAATAAAGCTTTAATGATGAATAGTCTTTTTTTTTCTTTTTCTATTATTAGTTTTTCTCCCCATATAAAACAAACAGGTCAGCATTAATATCTTTATTTAGTCACTTACATGACTGCCTTTTTTAATTTTGGATGTTGACCTAAGCCAAGATAATCATTGCTACACCAAACAGTTATTGTCTGCGATTCAGAATCATCGCTTAAAGTTTTCTTTTCTTCAGCTTGAGGAAAACAACCACTTTTACGTTGTACACGTTTGAAAACTCGATAAGAATTATCAAGTTTTTTTGCTTCAATTTTTGCATCAAAAAAAGTATCGTACTCGAATGCATTTGCAACATTAATCTTTGATGATGTTAGTGGACGTGAAATTTTGTCAATACCTAATTTTCGACTAACTTTAATTGCATCTTGATCCATATTAACACGTCGAAGTGCAATTGGTGTCGATTTTAAAAATGGACATAAAAGATCTTCACATTCAGCCGAAATAATAACTTTGAATAAAAAAAAAACAAACGATAATTTTTAATTTGTTTTTTCTTTTTCTTTTTGTTCGTCTTACTTTCACCATATGGATTTGAGGTTTTTGTATTTGTTAATGTTGTAATATTGAATATGTTTGGTTTAACCTTTGATGATGAATATTGATGATTTTTTTGTTCAAGCATTTTTTCATGAACAGCCTTTATTTCATTTAAACTGAGTGGGCGAGACATTGATGATGAAACATTTGTTGATGATATATTGTTAGTATCATGAACATTCGAAGTTGATATTTTTCGAGCAAATTGACTAAATATTGGACATGATTCAACACCAGCATTAAGAATATGTGGAGCTGAAGCTCGAACCTGTTGTACAGTTAATTGAGATAAAAATGGACATTTAAGCACGGGCATTGCCATGTTTTGTTTTTCTTATATATTTTTTTTGTATATTATATGATTAAAATGGAGCGGATTGCTATGCTTATAAGCAAAAGTTAATCTATAAAATATTAAAAAAAAAGAATGTGTGTGCACTTTTTATGGGAATAAATTCCAGATTGTAGGGGTTTTTATCAAATGTGAGACACGTTTGTTTTTTTTTTTTGCAGAAGAATATTTTTCGTTTTGTAGCATAGCCTAAGGCAAAAGCTTTCAAGGTAATAATGTACAAAAATAGATCTCAGTTGAGAAGAAAAATAGGATGTATTAAAAATAAACAAAAATTCAAGAAAAAGCTTCTACGATACAAGGAGAATAATAATGATCCTATTGTAATCTGTATAAAATAGATAATGACACAAAAAAAAAGAATATGAATGATTAAAAGGACTAAATTTGGTTGAATCATTCATGTGGAAAAAAGTGTTTTTTTTAGGCTTTACAAATATCATGACTGCATCAACATATATGTACTTTTTTTATCAACTTTTACCTGTATTCGCTTTCTCGTTTGTATAAAGCATATAACATGTCTATGAACTATCTCTAAGGCTGAATAGAAAAGAAAAAAAAAAGATTTTTCTGTTTATATGTGCGCAAATTATTACTTTCTAAAGAATCTTGTGACGGAAACGAGAATCAACTAACTAGTCAGAACCCTACTGATTATGAATACTTCCGGTTTCATAAGGCCAATGTCATATTGTTCTTTCTTTATCTCTTTCAGATAACAAAAAAAAAGCAAGAGAAACCGACATACATATTGTTGTCAACAACGTTAGATATATCGGGATGCCCATTATGGCCCGATACCGCAATTCTTTTTTTGTACATATAGCTTCCATAATATATCAGAAAAATATAATTTCTTTTATCAGTTATGGTACTGATATAATACTGATGATTTGTCAAGAATAATGGGTTTATATCTTGTTTGAAATCAAAATAACCAAATGTCTTTGCAAAACCTATGCAAAAATACCAAAAGAATTTTTTGAAAATACTTGATTATTTCGATTTCAAACAAGATATAGATCCATTGTCCTTGAAAGATCATCAGCATTATAGCAGTACTATAACTGGTAAAACAATCAAATTTTTCTGATATATATTATGCAAGCTATCTGTACAAAAAAAAGAACTGGATGTCACGTCAGATCGGGTACCCCCATATATATATTCTCGGTTCTGCATGTGTGAGACTAATGCTGTCACATCAAATTATTTACAGAATAAACCAGAAGAAAGAAAAAGAAAAAGAAAAAGAAAACAAAACCGACATGATAGGAATTTAAACAAATATTTCATATGAAGAGAAAAGGTCAAAGTCATTCTTGCAAATTGCAAGCAAATATAGCTGGGAAATAGCGCATAAACGTGATGCACTCATATACGCAATAAATACTGTTAAAATTGTGTTGCGTACAAAAAGAAAAAAGAGAACTAATAAGACATTCATTGAAATAATCATTACTTCTTCTTTAATAACATGCAAAACTCAAAATAAACTTTGCTTTTTGAATGAAAAACAATAAATAAGTAATCATATCAACAAAACAAGTGAATCTAACTAATGGAATATGATCGTTACAAATGAGTATAGATTAAAAAAAATCACTATTGGCGAATAAAAATGATTCTACACGAGAAAATGATACCATAAGATAAGATATTGCTAAAATAAACATAGGGCTAGATGTCGTTCGTTTCTGGATAATAAACTACCAATGTAGTGTGAGCTAACATGACCGGTTAATATTATTCTCTCTACTAAATAAAACGGAGGACGTGCGAGTCGATATTTATTTTAACTTGTGCCTTTTTTATTCATTCATCATCAAAACAAAACCGAAAAAGAAAAAGAACCATGTCTCATCAATCGGGAATTACCGGTTAATTGAAAATAATATCTTTAAATTTTTCTCATATAAAACTTTATTTTTTCTTTAGCAAATGATAAATTACGAGAAAAATTTGCTGAAATGAAAGATGGACATATTCGAGTTGTCGTTGTTGTTATTGAAAATGGTTTGAAATGATTATATATATATATTTATCTATATTTCTTTAAAGATATTTTTCTTATATAGAAAGTCTGGTAAAAAAAGCAGAACATAATGCTGAACAAACATTTAATGAAGGTTAATATTAAAAAAAAATCTCTTTTTTTTATTTCTATTTATTTATTTAAATAATTTTTTCGTAGATTTTGATAAAATGATTCCACCATTAATTGACAAACATCGGCCTGCTTATTATTTTGTTCGTCTTGATACAATTAGTGAACTAAGTGGACATAATTGGTTATTAATTGTTTACATTCCTGATGATGCTAAAGTATAATTTAGTTAAAAAAATATTAAAGCAATTTTAATTTATATTTAGGTTCGTGAACGAATGTTATATGCATCAACAGTAGCTACACTTAAACGAGAATTTGGTTTAACATATATTACTCAAGAAATTCGAGCATCATCAGTGGTAAATATTAATAAAAAGAAAAAATAATTATGATCATTTTATTTGATTAGCATGAAATGACAAGTCATTCATTTCATCAACATGTTCGTAGTCAAGCAGCACCACCACCAAGAACAATGCGTGAAGAAGAAATGTTTGAAATACAACAACGAGAAGTTAGTTTTATAATAATTAATAAATGAAAATGAAAAATCTTTTTTTTTTTAGGTTACGGCGGATATTAGTATTGATTCCCGACATCAAACTTTACAAGGATTAACGTTTCCTTTGGATGAAAATGTTGTTGAAGCTTTACATTTATTTAAAAAACAAAATGTTGATTATGTACAATTGGTAAACAGAAAAATATTCGAAATGAATTTATGAAACAGTATAGTTCGATATAATTCTACTTGACTTTTGTGGGTTTTTTTTCAGGAGAAAAACAAATTGTAAAATTAAAAGTTTTGAAAGTCATATAGAATTCGAATGTTTTTAAACAAAATAGTTTTAGTTTATAGAATTTCAGCTATCAATAACAACGAACTTAGAATTAATACAAAAAATTTGAAATGCATCTCTATCGATATATATACTAGCGTTCAAAAAGTGAGATTCTGCACAATTTTTTTTTTAAATAGAAAATTTAATTTCTAGTCTTCAATAATTACATCGATGAGAAAAAAACTGGTATTTACAAAAGAAGATTTTCGATTTAAAATGCATGAGGACATCCTTACCTATAGTCTGTTGGATCGGGATCTGAAAATTTTGAATCTAACGGACTCTACTTTTATCCTAAGCTATTGTCGGAAAATCTTGTATTTTAAAAATTATAAAATAAGACTTTATTCGATGCAGTTTTTCGTGTTGATTCCAAATATATTTTTATTTTTCTCTTGAAATACTTCTGGGACAAAACAACGGCGAAGCACTTTAGAAATTGAGGTATTTTAGAAAATATATGTCTCACAAACGAACTTTCCGAGATGCTAAAAAGCTTTTCAAGCTCAAATTTTCTCCACAAGTAGCGATTTGACTGAGATATCGACTTTTTACCAAACAACGGTGAACAAAAATTTAGGACTTTTTATTTTTGATTTTGTTTTATAACGCTTAACGGTTAGCTTAAATCTAAATAGTGATTATGCTAACCAATCAAGTTTCCTATTTAATGCAATCTGTAGCAGAGTTTCACCAATGAACCATGATGGAATGATTTCTAAAAAGCCAAAAACCATATTTTTCAAATCGTACAGGATGTGGTTAACAAAATTTTTGACAAAGCCGTATTAAAGAGCTCAAAATTTTGAATAAACTGATGGGTCGCTGCATTTTCTACGACCTTCTGTAACAAAGCTACAAACATCTCAAAAAATCAAAAAAAAGAAATTTGTAAAAAAAAATTGCTTCTCTTGGTGTTTTATGATGTTTTGTAACTTTGTAATGGAAGGTGGTAGAAAATGCGAGAATCCATCATTTTGTTCAAAATTTAGAGCTCTTCAGTATGGTCTTGTCGAAAAATTCTTTTAACCACGTCTGCTACGATTTGAAAAATATGGTTTTTGGTTTTTTAGAAATCATTCCATCATGTTTCATTGGTGAAACTCTGCTACAGACTGCATTAAATAGGAAACTTGATTCGTTAGCAGAATCACTTTTTGGATTTGAGCTAACTGTTTAACATTATAGAACAAAATCAAAAATAAAAAGTCCTAAACTTTTGTCCACCGCTGTAATTCTTCCGTAGGATCCCATTTTTCCCGTAGAATCAGAATTTTGAATTTGGCCTGAAACATTATCCACATGATAACCTCTACCAGACTAGCTTGCGTACAAAGTTTCAGAATTTTTCGACAAATCATATCTGGGATATGAAGCTTTCAAAATATCCACGCATAACACAATATACCTACAGAAGTGTCTTTATGCTAATATATTCATATCTTAGCAAGGATTTGTCCAAAAATCCTAAAAACTTTGTAGACGGGCTAGTTTGGTACAGGACTTCATGTGGGCGACATTTCAGGCCAAAATTCGAAACTTTTATTTTACCTGGAAAATGGGGTCCTACAGGAGAATTATAGTAAAAAGTCGGTATCTCAGCCAAATCGCAACTTGCGCCAAAATCATCCTAGGATTTTTTAGTCTATACATCTCCTACTTGTGGACAAAATTTCAGCTCAAAAGCTTTTTAGCATTTCGGGCGGTTTCCTCGTCACTTGAGAAGCATTTTGTGCATCTTTATGCTGACTGAGTAGACCGTGTTAGACAGTAAAAAACATTCTATGAAAGTTTTATTGAATTTGGAGCTGTGCGTACCGGCTACACTGAACATGACTTTTTAGAAAAATTTCGTAGTTGAGAAAGCATTCGAACTTTTTTCAACAGGGAAACTGTTAGAATAGAGCTTTTCATACAGAATGATAGAACAAAAGTTCTAATTTCAGAATATGCATGCTTTATTTCACCAATATGTCTTTGGAAAAAGATACTCTGTTCTTAGAGCATAGAAACATAGCAATGTTGTGGGTCTAGGATTTTACCAAATCCTTGAAGAGTTAAAAGAATTCTTGTAAATTCGAAAGTCGGTCACTACCTAACGTATAGTAAACATTATTCGTATTGAAAAAAGATACTACTTCTATGTTTTCGCCAAATGTTCACGTTACTGCCCATTATGTTACACCCAATGTCGTATTGAAGAGGAAACTAATGCTAAAACTCGACCTAGTCTGTAGATCGATTGTATATTGATGAACTAGAGAGATAGCAATGGTATCTCAATTTAATATAATCATCCATGGATAAGTTAAGCTTAAATCCGTGAAGTAATGAACGATTTTATATACAAGAACTGCTGTCTAACAATCGAAATTTCTTCATTGATGATTGTATTAATTGAAATAATCTACAAAGTAGATTGAATTTTAACATTAGTTTCTCTTGCACTCCGAGATTAGACATAATCTCAGTTTGGACGCTAACATATATATATCATGGAGATATTCTAATCTAACATAATTGAATTTTTCATCCTATGGCGCACGTTTGTTCTCACTATCGCTGGTATTCATAAGAATTAAGAATAAATTGTCGATCGGAGAAAAATTCTCGGAATACCACGGTTAGATAATAGCCCACCATTTACGTATCACGTTACCGATGGCTTTTGTTTAGTTAGAATCACATAGGATGTCAAATATATTAATGGAATTCTAAAGAATTCTATTGAAAGAAATGATTTATTGAATTAGAGAACAATAATAAATATAATAAGTTTTGAAGACTGCTATACAATAATGAAGTTTACTAACATTATATTTTTGTCTTAAATGTTTAGGATATTTTTATTATATTTTCTTTTAGGAAATTGATCATGAACAAGAACGTATACTTTTAGCTCATTCGGAGTCACATGCAACTCCTGAACATATTCAAAAATGTTTACCAAACAATGCCGGACGATATCATATATATAGATTTAAACATAATCTTCATGAACAAACGTTAAATTCTCTGTGTATGTTATGATAAATCTGCACCTATTAAAAATATAACATTATCTTTTAAATAGTCTTTCTCTATTCTGTACCGGGTCATGGTTCAAAAATAAAACAACGTATGCTTTATGCTAGTTGTAAAGAAAGTGTTATTGATACGATTGAAAAAAAATTTGGTATTTCTTTCGATCGAAAAGTATGCATCGTTGAATTATACAGTTTTCATAATTTTTTTTAAATGTTTTTTATTGAAGTTGGAACTTTGTGATATAAGTGATTTAACACATGATTACCTTTTTCAACAACTTCATCCGGAATCAATAGCAAGTACAGGTAAACCGTCATTTGCAAAACCAAAAGCTCCATCATCACGTGGTCCACGTCGTCTAGTCAAATCAAATGAAAACCCGGATGAATGATAAAAATGAAAATTTTCTTATTCTACGCTTCGCTTTTCATTTTATAATTAGATTCAATTCTTTTTTTTTCTTGTCGATTTTGTGACAGATTCATACAATTGCTTTTTTTTATAACCTACTGGCTAATTGATAAATGACTTTTCTTTCGACTATTCTATGCGTTATCGTTATCAAATACAAAAAAAATGTAATAATACTTAATCGTTTTGTTAATCAATATATATGACTAATATAATAAAAAAAATGAGCCGAATCAAAAATTAAATTTTTTAAGATAAAATTATATTACGTTTTTAAATTTTGACTATTAGTAATAAAAAAAACCAATATGAATCATTATTATTTCTTCAAGGTTTATTAATATGGAATTATCGTCGATTGACTGATTCTTTTTTTATTTTGTTGTTTTCATAATTATTCAAAATAATAAAAAATAATTTAACTTTTTCATTTTTTAATAGAAAAGACTAATTAAATAATATCATCCTTATCGTAAACAGTCTAATAAGTAGATTGAATATTTGATCACTTATGTGCATGAAGGTCTGTCTGTCATTTATATCTGATAAAAGAACAAAAGTAATGACGGTGCATTTATCATCTTACACCAGATGCAAACACTCTTGCCTAGAATAACAATATGAATATTTTTTGATCATTATTACAAAGCTTTCTTTAAAGAATATCATGGTGATCTAACAAAGAAAAAGATACATAACTGCGTCATAAAATTGCTTAGCTATAATAATATTTTTTTTTGTTGTCGTCCCTTTCAGAATAATTGTGATTGTTCTCGAGATACGATTTGTCTTTTTGTTTTTTGACGAAATGTACTTATTATGAGATGAGATGAGATGTACAGTGACAATAGAAAAAAGAAAATCATCTAGACTACAATATTTCGGGTTTTTTCCTTCTTTTTCTTATTTGCCTGTATCTTCGTTCTTGCTGACTACATGCACACAAATGTATATTACGAGGCAAGATGAAAGGGGGAGATAGTGACAAATAGTCGTTGCTGTCTCGCTCTGTAGATACAGAGTAATATTTAAATATTGCACGTTTTTTATTTGATTTGGTTTGATGATGCTACCTTTCACATTTATCCGTTTGACAGTATTCATCATCGTTTATTTGCTTCTTGTTTCTTTTTTGTGACTAATATGTATGCAAAACTATACTATGAATAATAAAAGTAACAATTTTTTTTCTTTTTCTTTTTCTTTTTCTTTCTTCTTTTTTTTTTCTTTTTAATGGAATGAATGCGTCGGCAGAGAAGTGTGTTTGTTGATAAGAAGAAGAATATTACCAAAAAAAAGAAAGAAAAATAGTACTCGAAAGAGAAGAAAGTTCACCAAATTAGTACATGATCATTCATTCTTGTTCTTTTTTATTGTAGCCACAGTCAGAGCACATACGCTAACGACTTGCTTATGAACAATGTTGTTTTCATCGTCACAACCGTATGATATACCACAATCAACTATTGACTCGCAGTATGATACAACAACAGGTTATTCATCATCGTCACATATGACAAAGCGAGGACGACCAACAGCTGAATCGAATTATTATGCTGGTCATAATAGTGATTCAGCTACGAACCCATCATCTCGTCAATATCAAAGACGCCAACAAGATAATAATTATTTAAACGACTCGTTTTCAGATATTTCAAATGCTCAATATTTTCGACCACGACAACAACAACAACAACAACAACAACAGCAACCAATGTATTCAACAAATAGTCCAAAACGACCAATAATAAATTTTCTTTTACCGTAAGTTAATATTCTTCTTGTAGGATAAATTGTTTCTCAGGAGATTAAAAAGAATGTTGATAAATAGATTCCTTACAAATCAGATGTTTCTATTTTGCTATATTTACTTTAATGTAGAACTCTAACTACGCACAATCGGAAAAAAACATCGTCTCTCTCTCTCTCTTCTGTATATACAGATATACATCTAAGAGAATAGAGGAAAAAAAAATCATCGATGCATCTACTGACATATCCAAATGGGGATATTGACGTTACAGACTTATCATTAAAGCAATCGAACAACTGTTTCTAACAAAGACAGAAAAGGACATTATTTTCAAGAAAATCAATTCTAAAAAATCTTTTTTTGGCATCATTTCGTATCAAATGTAATATCGAAAAAATGAGAATAATAATACATAATCTTATAAAAATGACATCAATATTTGCGTAAATGAGTTGAATAATTTTAGACCTTGTTCTCATAGTTATCTTAACCATAAAAACAAGGACAAATGTACCAAAAAAAAAGAACTCAATGTTATGGTTGAGTTAGAAAACATTTAGAAAAGTGATATTAGTCTCATTCTTCTTTTTATCGTAAGATTTCATGGAACATACTCTTATGAATGTATGGTGATAAGTCGTATTCTTCCTACGATTAATTGCCTTTTGTACATGTTTTTTCTTTTTTCTCAGTCTTTCTTTATTTCTTACTTCTTTTGCAGAATTACACCCACTAATATAGGTCTAGTCCTTCTTTCTATTCTGCCTATCTTTGTTTCTTGTCGCTTGTTCGTATTTTACCAAACAAGCTGATAAGGTCATTGTTACCAGTAAGCCAAATACAATATATCGTTCTCTTTACAACAATCAAGCAATATAACAGCAATCGATTGTTTTCTTCTTTCTTTTTACAACAAATAAACGACATATATCGTCAAACAATTATCAAATTTTATCATTCATGACTTCAATTAGGTATGAACATGATATACATATCATCTAACGACAATAGGTAACGAAATACTACACAATAATAGTGAAGTAAAAGTGAAATATAATCGATTCCGCCCACATATTTGATCTATTTGAACGAATATATGACATACATATAGAAAGAGAGAAAGTAAACTGAACAAATTGTTCTCTCTTTCTTTTTTTTGCCGAAGAGTCAACCGAAGTAATGATGAAATCTTTCGTTGTCATCTCGATTGCGTTCATCTTACGCAAGTGTTATAAGCAAACTGAATGCTATAAACTTTTCACCTATGATGATCGATCTTCATAGTTATTCTCCTTTTCGTTTGCTTCTTTTCGCTCGCAATGCTCTTTTTCTTGCTTTCGAATCAATAATGAAAAGTATCTTTTTTATATGTTAATAGGTCCAATGCGGACCCTTCTCTTATTTCTTTTTCTCATACATATACTTTTTCATTTCACGTACATTTTATTGCGTCGTTATAGTAAGCTCGAAAGAAAAACAGGACGTTCGTGATGTTCGTTAATGTTTTTCCTGTACCATCTGCCAAGTTTCTCATCTCTTTGATTTCCACTTTTCCTAGGCAAGCTAACAAAATTTCGAATTTAATTTTTTTTTCTCATATATTTACTATGCATCAAGGTGATAAAACATATACGATGATAATGATGATCATTCGTTACTTCATACGTTTTTCTGTCAATAGATGATAACGATCTATATGCGTATATTTTTCTATATAAATATGTCATTTTTTTGATTCAATGCGATCATTTTTCTCAAGAATCGAAAATTAATGGCATCTGGTCGAATATCGTTTCAAAATAAATATCGAGCTGCAGCAGCAGAACGCTTGAAGCAACATTATTGTGATAAACAACGTTCACGTTCTAATGATGATTTATTAGACGAGTAAGAAAAAAAAATAAATCAACGGTGTTTTTTATTAGTAGATATTAATCTTATTATTTTTGTACAATGTACTTGTGAAAATATTAAGCATTTTTATTTGTGATTTTTATTACATGACAAATGAAAGAGAAAAGTGATATGATATGTTTTGATTAACTTGTGTGCTTTTTTACTTCTAAATTATACCTTGATTCATTCATAATGTTGTTTCTTCGTTCTGTCCAAAAGAGAAAGTTAAGAAAAAAAAACGATGAACATTAATGATAACACATAATTGAAAAGAAAATTATTACTATTCAAACCGTCTATATTTTTTTTATTGATTTTTAAGTGTACATAAAAAAATATTATTCATACATCTATGTAATACATTTACGAGAGAGAATTGTGTATATTTAAATAATTAGACATTATAATTAGGAGAATAATACTAATATTTATCTAAATTAGTTACACTTGAACGGTTCTTCTTTTTATGTGGGCGAAAAATGAGACAAGACATTCTTTACTTTTTCTTTCTCCTTCACATTTTCGCTTGCGGTTTCACTTTGAGGCCAGTAAAAAAAAAAAAAAAAAGAGAGAATGCGTCGTCACGTCACTGGTGTGCTGCCTCATCAAGTATTCTTTCGTATGTTTGCTCGCTTTCGTATTTGTTGAGAAGAGTACATATATGAGAAAAGAAGTTTGAAGAGAAGAAATATATAGAAAAAAAAATCGAGAGAATGAAAGAAAGAAAAAAAAGAAGACGAACGAAACACGATTTTCTGTTGTTGAAATAAAAAAGCATTATCTAGACAGTTCGTTTCTTCTTTTCTTTTTTTCTTGCACCGTTGTAGTTATTCTTTCATACACTACACTTCATTTATATCTACGATTATTTCAAAGATACTTTGCACCGATTACATGGACATTGACAATGGCCATAAAAGCAAAAATTGTTCACGCAGCATGTTCTCATTGAATATCTTTTTTTCTTCTCTTTGAACTTACTATCTTCCTTTTCTCTTTCTTTACATTTCACACAAAAGAACACATCTAACACATCACTTTTGTTCGTCTTACAGTTTCGAGTACATTGAGTTATCATAAAGAGAACAAAGACGTGTAAATAAGGGAACAAGTACGAACAATGATTACTTTTCAAAATTCTGATATTGAATCAATTGGTCTATCTGATTATTATTCATATACATTGGGCGGTAACAGGTAAAAATAAATATTGAGTAAAAGAGAAAAGAAAATGTTCTTAAATAATTTGTCTTATGGGAATAAACTTATGCTCCATCAAAATATAGTATTATTCATTAAACAAGTTTTACTTTTAATGTAAAATATAGATTTGTTAATCACCATATTAATCATTAACGACTTTATAAACAATACAAAAACATACTTGAATATTCATTTTTTTTCGTATTTTTCGCTCCGCTCTATATTATTATTCTTTACTGTGAATATATTTAATGTTTTTTTAAAGGCTAAAAAATGGAGAAACAAATGGTAATGCACGTCAACGTACACGTCATTCGAATTGGTCTAGTTTGGGCAGTCTTAATAGTTTTGGTGATTCAACAACAACTCCATCATCATCACAAGGACATACAGGTAGTGGAGGAAGTAATGCCGGTGGCAGTGGTGGAAGTAATACTGGTGGTAGTGGTACTAGTGTACAAAAGCGTGAAACATTACATAGTCGATTTGAATTTAAACAAACATTGGGTAAAGGTACATATGGTAAAGTAAAATTGGCATTAGATAAACGTAAGAATGAACAAGTAGCAATAAAAACCATAAAAAAATCCCGTATTGAAAACCCACATGATTTGGCAAGAATTCGACGTGAAATTGATTTTATGACAAGTCTTAATCATCCATATATTATTAAAATAAAAGAAGGTATAATATAAAATTTCTTTTTTCTATGTAAACATTTTTTATTATGAAAAATATTCATTGATAGTTTATGAAAGTCGAGAAAAAATTATTCTTGTTATGGAATATGCAAGTGGTGGTGAATTATATGATTATCTTAATCGTATGAAACGCATACCAGAATCTCAAGCAAGAGCAATATTTCGACAAATTGTATCAGCTGTTCATTTTCTTCATAAAGTATATCAATAGATAAATTATTTTCCACTAAAACTATATTTCTTTTTTTTTTCTAGAATCATATTGTTCACAGAGATTTGAAATTGGAAAATATTCTAATTGATCATAAAGGAGATATCAAAGTAAATATAAATATTAAAAAAAGAAACTATTGACTTAATCAATTGTGTATGTGTTTTCTCTAATTCGTTTGTAGTTAGCAGATTTTGGTCTAAGCAATAGCTGGTCACCTCGTCAACTATTGTATGTTACAGTTTATCTAAATATTCAGATATATATGACTTTCTAACTTTTAATCAGACATACCTTTTGTGGATCACCACTCTATGCTTCACCAGAAATCGTCTCTGGTACACCATATCGTGGTCCTGAAGTATATATTTCATTGTTTATGACTCCTTTGTAAATGAATATTTATGTTCGATATAGGTCGATTGTTGGTCATTAGGTGTTTTGTTATATACACTTGTCTTTGGTACGATGCCATTTCAAGGTGGCGATTACAATCGATTAGTACGCAATATAACTACAGGAAATTTTATTCAACCTCGTGAACAGTCAGGTAATTGAAGTTTTTCTAAGAATAGTAAAAAGGATAGGTTATATATGAAAAGAAAGATGTAAATATAGATCCCAATAACCATTTATTTTGTTCCGTAGAAAAAAGGTCTTTTTTTTACAAAATTTTCTAAAAATCAAAAAACACCTATAGGCGCACTCGATCTCATACGTAAATGTCTTACGGTATCACCAGCAAAACGTTTTAATATTGACAATATTACTACTCATGAATGGATTAATATTGGTTATGGTCGTCCACCTATACACAATTATCCTCCTTCAACAATGCAAAAAAACAATAATATGTTATCATCACATCCAATATTGCCAAAGACTAATGAAACACCAAGAACAACATCAATAAAGCCCAAAATCAGATCAAAATCTACTCAATCGTCAGCTCCTACGTACTCTTATCCCCCTCTACCTCCTTCTCATTCTCCTTCTCCTGCTCCTCCTCCTCCTCGTGTTGATCCCGCTCCAGCTACTGTACTTCGACCATTATTGAAAAATGGACGTATGTCATATATTGGATCAAAATTAAAATCAATGAAGAATGGAAATCATCAAATAAAACAATTTAATCGATTAAAAGACAATAAAACAACAAAAAATAATAAAAATGAACCACAAAAATCTAATCAGTTAAATAAGCGAACATATAATTATAAACATAATGGTAATCGATCACCGATATCATCTAAACCTCCTCCAATACATATGGTGACTTATTAGAAAAAGAAAAAAAAAAGATTAGAAATAGGTTTTTTTGTTCTGTTTTTAGCTTCTTATTATGTTTATTCTCTTTTATCATATTCATTTTTTTTTCTTTTCTGAGATCTAGAAAAAACTAATCTAATTCTATGCTTGAGCATGTTATATATATAAGTGAATATTTGGTGATGGACTAAAAAAGACAAATTTTATATGCTTATTTTAAAACTTTATTTCATTAATATCATAGGTGCTCTTTCACTTATACGATATTGCTTGACACCTGATGCTAATAATCGTGCTACAACAAAAGATATTCTTCGTCATGAATGGTTAGCAAATGGGCCCATTCTTTCATTAAGACTTACTTCAACAACACCAACACCTATTTCACTTACTGATCAACAATCATATAAAGATTATGAAAAAGTTCATTTACGTTCAAGTGTACCACCAACAACATACAATGAAAAACATATGTCACCAACAAGTTCGCTTGTTGATCTTGAACTTCATACAAGTTCATTTTTTGATACAACAAAAATACATGATAATAATTTATCAAAAACTACTGAACAACAAGAACAACAACGGCGTAATCGAATATCAGCTGCACCTGATTCAACACGTTATTATCCATCAACATTTCGTCCTTCAGATCGACGACCACTAAGTTTATCACTTGATGATCAATATTCAAATGATCCTATAGATTATCATTTTGCATCAACAAGTGAAAAGCCATCATTATTAACACAACCATATAATCGACGTTCTCGTCGAACTGTTTCACCAACATCAACAAGAACAACATCATCATATGGTAATAATGATCGAATGAATTCTCCACCAATCACGCATCGATATACATTAGGAATATCATCTGATACAAAAAAACCAACGTCACCTATAAGTCCATCAATTTATGCTGATTCATATGATTGTGATACAACATTACGTGATTTTAAACGTAAACCTATTTTTAAATATACACCACCAGTAATACCATCAGCAAATGAATTAAATATTGTACCAAGTCTTTCAAATTCAACAACACCTGTTGCACCATCTGTATTTACAACATCAGCTATTAAATTTGCTCCAGCACCTTTGCGACGAATGAGTCCAATTAATGATCAAGAAAATAATATTAATAATTCTTTATTGAGTACAGCACGATTATTAAATAATACAATATCTAATACATCTTCTAACATTGATGATAGTATTAATATAGCTACTACTAATCATAACAATCGTCATTCATTATTAACTTCATATGAAACAAATAATTTACGAAAAAATCGTTTATTAGATGATAATAATAATTTGATAACATTAAGGGTGTATGATTAATAATCTTCTATTTTTATTTTCTTTCTACTTTTCTCTCTTTCTCTTTTTTTTTGTCCCAGTTTCAACTGTGATACTGTGTGACTTTCATTCACAAAGGACGATAACAGTAGTAGACATTGATTTTTCTTGTCTGTACATCTACCCTTCTAATTGATCTCTTCCTCGTTTGTTTTTTTTTTGTTTGTTTATTTGAATAAAGGTTTTCATGTGTGTATTTGTGTGCCCGTTTCACTTATTCAGGTTGTGTAAAACAAAACGAAATATTGCTGATGTTACTTGCTGCTATGAAAATATTTATATATGTATGTGTGTTTTGTTTTAAAAGTTCGTTTTTCTTTTTTTTTTTTTTTTGTATCATAAAAAGAAAGAGTGAAAGTATAAACCTTGAAAGAAAAAAATAATAAAAGAATCGGTTCAAATTGTGTGTCTGAGTTTATTACATTAACATCAAGGTTAACTTTATTATTTAAAGAAAAAAAAAGAAAAAAAAAATCATTTCAAGGAGATGTGATTTATTTACTACTCGATGCTAATTTACTTGCAGCAGCTTTTGCATCATCCGCATAGCGAGCTAGACGAAAGTAACTTAAACGTTCCTGAAAAAAAAAAAAACAACACATTGAGATTTTGTTGTTTTAGTAACTTTTATTTACCGGATCGATATCAACTATTGTATCAGATACATCATCAAGTTCATCTTTAATTAATAGTTCGTTCGTCTATATAAATAAAAATAAAAGATAGATATTATTCTTCTTTTCTTCCTTTTTACTTCATTCAATGATGGTAAACAGTTCGGTCGATTGAGACCAAACATAATCTGATAAAGTTCAGCAAGATCATTTCGAATTTGATTATCATATGAAAAATTTCTAAAAGTTTTTCAATGAATATTATTGTTTTTATGTCCCTTTTCATTTTTTATACTTCATCAATGACCATAATCGATGAACTGTTATCGGATTATTAAGAGAACATGTTTGATTTTGTCGAAATGGTGGATGACGACACAAGTGTTGAACAATTTTACGTCTGAAAAAATTAATTTTCAATGAAAAAAAATGTATTGAAATTCTAGCAAACCTTAAATTATAATCAGGATCATTCGTAATAATATTGAATATATATTCAAATACATCTTGGTTCATTCGAGCTAGAAATAACAAAAAATTCTCGTTGAAACACTAATTTCTATTAGCGTGCAGTAACTTTAACATCATCAGCAATAAACAAACGTGTATATACAACGATATTGATCAGGTTTCAGAAGTAGAAAGACACATCAAGAAATTAAATTGTATACTTTTTCATATAAAATAAAAGTTTGAAAATCGGACTGTGAAAGTATCTGCTAAATATCAATTAGCTTCGATTGTGAAAAGTCACACCTGTGTAGGACATTATTTCTTATCAGAGACCGTCATCGGGGGAGGGTAAAATGAAGTTTGCCTTGTTAATTATATTTTTTCATAGAATGTCATTTGAAAATGTTTTCCGTATGTAAATATGAATCTACTGAAACATGTGTCGTATATGTAATTTCATTGGGTAGTAATAATTCTATGTTTTTGATTCAACAACTCTTATTACATAAAAGAAAACAGTTAAGAAAGGATAAAAACAAAAAACAATCTTGACCTATTGTTAAATAGTGATGAAAGCATTCGACTCTATTAAATGATGATATTCAATCCCAAAGAACCGTTCCTGTTTTCATTGAGAGATATTTTGGTTTTGTATCTATCACAGGACGTAAAGCATTCAAGTGAATAGTAAATAGGCATTTGAGAAGTTCTACGATCATGTAAAAGGTTCCTGAGCTTCAATCATTTTGCCTAATATTTTGAATACAAATAGAGCTCGGCAAACCTTCATGGAGAGCAGCAATTCAAGGACGATAGGCCTTAATGCAAATAATTTACGATAAAAACACGAATCCTTTCTCAAAGGCCCAAAAAAAAAGGCTTTTTTCATACTTCTGTTTTTCAACTATTTAAATACATTAATCTTCATTTTCTTATTAACAAATAAAGATTCACATTTCTATAGATAAAGCACTTCTATTCGCTGTAGTCTCGAGGCGCAGGAAAGCCTTCATAGTCTGGGACGGTCTCAGCATCAATGGCTGCGATCGTGAAATATAGAAAAATTAAGAAACTAAAGAATTAAAGTTTAGGTACCTTTTGGGATCACTGTATTTATGAATTAGTTATCATTCGAAAAAAATGATTTCATTTATCGTTACTTCATATAGTTTTATGAAGTAGTTGCCTTTCTTCTACTATATTCATTATCTTAATATAATAAATAAATAATTTTTATCTTTTATCATATATCTTACTTTCAATTTGTTCAACAAGAATTTCACAAGCTGTTAAACGTACACGATCAAACATTCCATATGATGCATATTCATAAAAAACATTTACATCAATAGGTATACCACTAATAATATTTAGTTTATGTAAAACTCTTAAACAAGTACATGTTACACAAAATCCATATGATGGAATAATTTTATCAAAATTAAGTTGTAATAATATCTCATCAAATATTCGTTTAGTATTATTATCTAATGTATGATTTAATAAAAGATCAACATTTGTTGTTGTACTTGTTAAACCAATATTTGTTAATGTTTTTCCAAGTGAATCAATTAATGATGAACGATAATAAGCATCAGAAAAACGGTTTTTAGAATTTTCATTATAATGTATTAATTCGAATAGAAAATTAATTACTTCAGGTGGACATACACGATCTTTATTACGTTGTAATGCTATAGCTTGTGGAATTGTTTTTTGTATCATATACATTTGTGCATTTGAAAAATCATTTATACGTACAATATTTGCTGATGGTACTGTTAATGATAAATTATTTGTTGAAGATGTTGTTACATTTGCTGAAGATAATGTTGAATTTGTTGACATAAATACACGACGAAAAAAACTTAATGTTGCTAATGTACCTGTCCATGTATTTGCCATAGAATTTGCAATCTAAATAAATGTTCAAATAGATTTTTTTGTTGGATCAAAAAAAAACTCATATGTCAAGTAGATCATTTGTATACATTCAAAGAGTAAAAAATTTGTGAGAAAAAAAAACAGATGATCCTTTGCTATCTGGGTCTTATCGAATTTTAAAAATAGGTTGTAACGTACTGTTTTTTCTTGATAAGATATTGAATCTGAATACGGATTTATAACAAAAATATTTGAAATAAATGTCAAATAGTACTAACACATATTCGATCATTCTGACCCAATCATAGTGAATAACATGAAAAATGTAGTTTATTTTCAATATTAACTCATAAATAACACGGTCTTTATGCTAAATACTTTATAACTAATAGACAACTAAAAAAGCATTCCACAGTCGTTTTTAAAGAATTTCTTATCGATAAACAATAGAAACCTGCAGCTTTTCTTATGGTCTTTCATTTAGGAATGGAGGAGTTCGCATCGAAATTAAAACCAATGATAATCTATTATAAAAAGTAACTGAACACTAACAACTTCCGCACGATCTAGGAAATATGAGACTTGATTTCAATCTGGAAATAGCCGCTTTTACAGATATCTAATTATATACCATTTTCCAAAATGACTCCTTTTTCAAAAAATAATTTATGATAAGTAGGTTTCGAATTTAATACA